ACGCAGGACTTGGGAGCGCCTCTACCAGCAGGTGCGTGAGTGCTCAGGCCAGCAGAGGGACACCAGGAACGGGCTCAGGACCCCGCACCGGGGCCCAGGCTGTCCCTGCCAGAGTGGCTCCAGCAACCGAGGAGGGTCAGAGGACAGGGGACCCTTGCATTTGAGGGATGGGGGCTCAGCAAACAAAGAAACTCTCTCTCTGCTGATGACCAAGTACCCATCCCTTGGACATTCTGCTCTGTGAGTGGGACTCTCCTCCACCCTATGTGATGGAATTTCCCCTGCTGACTGTGACAGGCTGCCCCTCTGTGGGTGGGACACCACTTCCTATGCGTAGGTCATTCTGTAGGACACTTCCCTCTGTAGGTGGGACACGCTCTAGACCCTCCCCAGGTGTGGCCATTGAACTCCTGGCACATCCAGGCTAGGCCACTCTGAAATGCCATGACCATGACCCAGAAGGGTGCCCAGGGAGGATGACCTCTGCCCCCCTGCTCCCCCAGACCCTGAGGTCCGCAGGGAAGATCTACATGATCTTCTTCATGCTTGTCATCTTCCTGGGCTCCTTCTACCTGGTGAACCTGATCCTGGCTGTGGTCGCCATGGCCTACGAGGAGCAAAACCAAGCCACCATCGCTGAGACGGAGGAGAAGGAAAAACGATTCCAGGAGGCCATGGAGATGCTCAAGAAAGAGCAGGAGGTGGGTGAGCGGTGCAGCCACGGGGCCTCCAGACCAAGCCCTCCCCTAACTGTGGACGCCTGCAAGCATGGTGCCTGCTGGGTGTGCTGGTGCCTGGAGGTGTGGTGCCTGCTGGGTAAAGGTGGTTCCTGTGAGCATAGTGCATGCTGGACAAAAGAGATCCATGTGTCCATGGACATAGTTATCCAGGTCACTGGGTGCCTTCTGGTGGGGCAGTGAGAAGGGTCCAAGGTTGGAGGCCTGAGCCAGCCTAGAAAATAACCACAGAGCCATAGGAGGTTTGGCGCAGTGAATAGAGCGTTGGCCTGAAGGTCCCAGGTTCGATTTCAGTCAAGGTCATGTACCTCAGTTGCAGTCTTGATCCCCAGCCTGGTGGGGGCACATGCGGGAGGCAGCCAATCGCTGTGTCTCTCTCCCATCGATGTTTTTCTCTCCCTCCCTCCCTTCCACTCTTTCTAAAAAATGAATGGAATAATATCCTCCGGTGAGGATTACTAAAAAACAATAAATAAAAAGAAAACCTCAGAGCAAGCCTGTTGGAAGCCAGGCTGTAGACATCTTTCTTCTCACTGCCCCATGCCACCACCCCCAGCACCCATTTTGGCTAGCCAAACCTTCTAGAAGGTCCTCTGACCTCTAGGTCTTTCACTTCAGCTCATTGACACCCCATCCATCTGTCCCCCACACTCGCCTCTTCCAAACGCTGCCATGTCAGCCACGATTCTCCTCCTCCCTGGACTTGGTTCTTTCATAGAACATTCTGGGTCTGTCTGAGCTCATCTCTCCATGATGCCCTGATGTGGGAGTAAGTGTGCAAGTCCCCTTACTGCTGGGGAAAACCAAGGCCCCAAGAGTTACCTGGTGGGTCTTAGCCTGCGGCTGCATGTAGTCCCGATGACCAAGACATCCCTTCTTCCGCCCTGTTCCAGGCCCTCACCATCAGGGGTGTGGACAGCGTGTCCCGCAGCTCCTTGGAGATGTCTCCTTTGCCCCCAGTCACCGCCCATGAGAAAAGGAGCAAGAGGAGAAAACAATTGTCTTCGGAGACGGAGGAGTGTGGGGATGACAGGCTTCCTAAGTCGGACTCGGACGATGGCCCCAGAGCAATGGTAGCCCCCTGCCGTGGCCCTGCCCCCGTTAGGGCAGATCAGAAGCCCTTCATGTTGGGTCCCTGGTACAGTCACAGATGGCTGCTCCCCAGGGAGGGCATCCCGCAGCCCCTCCCAGCCCTTCCTGTTTCCCATGGCCATGTTTGGGGTCAAGGAGCCCTGGGCAGCGGGACGGGGTAGGTCTGGGTGTTATGATATCCCACATTTCAGCCAGGTCCCCAGCATTGATCTGGGACTGTGATACACCCTACAGTGTCAATTGGTAGGACACCAAGGACAGGCCCATATGAGTGAGGGGCATGGCTGCTTGGGCCAGGCTGGTCTACACTGCAGGAGCCTTCCTGCCTCCTCTCCCCCTGCCCAGCCTTAGCCCAGGTGAGCGTCGATCTCAAAGCCCCAGAGGCACAGGCTCCAGGTGAGCAAAGGTCCCCGAAAGGACAAGATTGCTCTAGCCCCGCCCCGTTCCCTGAACACCCCACCCCTCGGCCCAGCTCACCCACACTGTGTGGCCAGCTAAAGCCCGCAGTCCTCTGAGCAGGTGAGCTGGACGGATGCCACAAGAGATGAGTTGGGAGCACTGGAAGGGCTGTCGGGGTGATGTCCTGTCTTCCTGTGCCCTCAGAACCACCTCGGCAACACCCAGGGCTTCAACAGGACCTCCGTGAAGTCACACTTCAGGCGAGGGAGCATTTTCACCTTTCGCCGGCGAGATACGGGGTCGGAGACAGATTTTGCCGATGATGAAAACAGCACGGCGGGAGACAGCGAGAGCCACCGCACGTCACTGCTGGTGCCCTGGTCCCTGCGCCGGCCTAGTGCCCAGCCACAGCCCAGTCCCGGGACCTCAGCTCCCGGCCACGCCCTCAATGGCAAAAGGAACAGCACCATCGATTGCAATGGGGTGGTCTCCTTGCTGGGGGCAGGCGACCCTGAGGCCACCTCCCCAGGGAGCCGCCTCCTCCGCCCCATGATGCTGGAGCGCCCCCCAGACACGGTGAGCCAGCCCGCGATGTAGCTCCAGGGCAGAGCTGGTCTCCAGCTCATCACCAGGGTCAGGTCGAAATACACCCACCCCGTATTTACTGAGCTCCGGGTGTGTGCTGGGTTCTGGAGGTGCGTTATGCTGATAAACAGGGATGATAGTTAAGTATTTAATAATTGGTAAATGATAGCTAAATGTTTAATCATTGGTAAGGCCGGGGCACTGAGATGCCACGGTGGCACGGAGCCAGTGTCCTGAGGACCCGTGTGTGCCCTGTAGACCTGCTGGGTCCTTGGCAGTCCGGAGCCTCCTGGGAGAAGGGCCAGAATGGCAAGGGGACACTTCCCAGGTTTTGGCCAACAGTTAGTCACCAAGTCTGCCACGTGTCAGTACATGAAAACCGGTGACTCAATACTAGCCCAGTAAGTCGTGTGGAGGATGGGAACAGAGAAGAGGGAGAAGGAACCCCCATTCACTAGGAGGCATTTAGACAAATGAAAGCAAAGGTGGGAGCCAGGCTGCTGTCTGAAACTCCCAGGTTTAGAGGAGTGGACCGCACCCCAGGTTCTGGAGACCAACTGGTTTATAATCCGGCTTTGCTGCATGGCCATGGGAAAGTTACTGTGCGTCTCTCGCCTGTAAAATGGGTTAAAAATGCCCATCGCAGGATTGTTGCAAGAGGGAAGGGGCTCACAGGGGTAAAGCGATTAGGATGAGCATATGATGTTATGATAACATCATCATAACGTACCTTCATTACCTCGTCTTGGGGAGGCAAGTTCCAGGCCTAGAAGACAGCAGTGCAAAGGCCCTGAGGCAGAAACTGGCCTCGCCAAGGGGAGGACGTGCCATGAGGTCAGTGTGGCCAGAACCCAGGGAACAAAGGGGAGAGGAGTTGGAGTTATTGTCAAAAAGGTAACGAGGAGCGGCCAGGCTAGGTCATGAGAGACCAGTTAGAGTTGTAATCTCTCAGTCAGCCAGTCCCGTGACAGACTGATGGCCGCCTGATCAGTCCTTGCTGACCCCTGACACCCAACGTAGTGCCCAGAACAGCCCGCCCAGGCAAAGGGCAGACACGTGGCTCAGACCCCAATGCCTACAGGGAGATGGAAGAGGGCAGGCTCTCTGAGGAAGCTGGAACAGGACAGGGAAATGGTCAGGAGGGGGGAGGGGAGGCTGAAGAGGAACAGCTCACAGCCAAATGGCCTGTTTTGCTCAGACGCTTGCTCTAGCTGCGCGACTCTGCACAGATTCACACAGCTCTCTGTGTCCCCATTCCCTCATCTGTAGAGACAATAAAGGGAATGTCCGCGCCGGCTGGTTGTGGCGAGGACTGAGTTAACACCTATCCGATGCCCAGCCCAGTCCTTGCCTCACATTCCAGTCATTATTATTATTATTATTATCTGTGATTGTAATTATTGAGCAGGAAGGAATCAAGACTCCTGGGGCGCAATGCAGAGCGCCTGGGGCCCTCACACTCCTCTGGGGAAACCAAGTGGGGGGGGAGAGCAGACTGAAGCTTCCGGGTGAGTCCGGGAGGCCCCAGGCCATCCCCTGTAGGGTGGGGTATCTGACTTCCCAGGAGCACCACATCCCAGTGGCTGCAGACTCCCCCTCATGCCCAGCCTGGAGCCTCAGCCCCGTGGATTCAGGAAGCGAATAGAACCTCCTAATCTCGTTAGGGAGAGAATCGTCTCGTAGGGCACATGTCGGGAGGAGCCCGAGTTCAAACACTTCATTACCGGGAATTCTGACCTCAGCATTCTCACTTCGGTAGGGCCCATTTGTAACCTTAAAGGGATTAGCTCGGCCAAGGGGGTCATTTGCGAAGTTAAAGGAATTAGTGGGCCGAGATGGAGACTCTGAAAAGTTAAAGAGATTAGCAGGCTGCAGGCCCCGGGAATGCCTTCCTGGCTTCTGGTTCCCGGTGAGACGCGTCTACCCATTTCTCATCAGAAAACAAAACACAGTGTCAGGCACGAGGTGGGCCCGGAGTCAACATGGGAGGGCAGGAGGGAGGGCCACCCCGACGGACCGCGCGTGTTTCATTTATCCAGATTGTTGACCCCTTGCTGACTCCTGACCCCCAACACAGTGCCCAGAACAGCCCACCCAGGCAAAGGGCAAACACGTGGCTCAGACCCCAATGCCTCCAGGGACATGGGAGAGGGCAGGCTCTCTGAGGAAGCTGGAACAGGACCCGGAAATGGTCCTGTTCCCTGTCTGCCTGGGAGTGCCTGGCCCAGAGAGAGTCACGTGGGGCCAGGCGAGGCACAGTGAACAGCCACTCCCTAGATTTCATCCCCCTCCCCCCACCATCAGCAAGTGAGGGCAGAGCTAGAGCTCTCACCCCAGCCTCCCCGTTCCCAAGGATCTATCCATCCACCAGGACATATCCAGGGCCAGCTGGCTGCCCTGAGTGCCACACAGTGTTTGAGACTCCAGGGTTATTGCAATGAACAGAACAGAAAGAGCCCTGCCCTGGCGGAGTTTGCCTTGTAGTCAGGAAGACAGATAGTGAACGGGTCAGCATTCCCAGGTAGCAATAAGGGTCATGTTATAGGAAGTTGCCAGGGGGAGGGATGGGGATGGGAACTATTAGTTAGAACAATCGGGGAAGGCCTCCCAGTGGAGCTGACATTAAAATTGACAGGCAAATGATTTAGGGAGCCAGCCACAAAGACATGGGAGCGTGGTGTTTTAGGCAGAGGGAACAGCAATTTGAAAGGCTTCTGAAGAGAAATGGGCATGACCTGAGAGAGCCGGGCAAGACCAGGTGTGGTGGAACCTGCGGGAAGGGATCTGGAATGAGTTTGATGAGTTAGGATTTGGATTCTGCAGAGCCTTGTAGGTCATAGGAAAGTTTGAATTTATCCTGAATAAGATGGGGAGCAGTGGGCTGGGGGGAGCTGTTGATCAGAGGCATAGCATGATCTGATTTTTAAGGGACTCCCTTTCTGCTGTGTAGTGGATATAGGGAAGAGAAGAAGAGGCCAGTTAGGGGGCTATTGTGGTGGTTTTAGGAAAGGGGTGATGATAACTTGCACTAGAATGGTGTATCAGTCAGCTATCGCCACACGTAATGGTGTGTAACAAACTACCCCTGACGTCAATGGATGACAACAGTTTTTATGCTCATGCTCAGTCCTCTGCAGGTTGACAATGGTTCGGCTGGTCTAGGTTGGGCTTAGCTGGGCAGCTCTGCTCCGGACTTCACGTTGGCTTGGCTCCACACTGGGTCAGACGCAGGGCTGCTCCTGTCTATGTGCTGAGTGAGGCCCAGGCTGCAGGAGTGGCAGCTACCGAGGGAAGCTCTTTTCTGGGAGGATGACTGGAGCACAAGAGCAAGGCCAATGGCACAGCTTGTTTCAGGCTTCTGTTCGCACCATGTCCACTGACATTGCATTGACCCAAGCGAGTGTGTCACCTAGAGGACGGGAAGTTTGTTGGTCCACCCTGGAAGGGGAAATAGTAAATACTTGCTAAATGATAACTCGAACTCTTACCAACAGTAGAGGAGGAGGCGAGAGGTTGGGAGGATTTAAGACAAACTGGTGAGTTCAGCTGGCCAGGAGTACCTAGGTACTGTTATTACACCAGCCACCTCAGCCCTGGCAGGTGCCTCTGCTCGCATACTTCCAATGACGGGGAGCTCACTATCTCCCTGGGCAACCTTTCAGGGCAGCCCCCCACCCCCCAATTGCAAAGGTTGACCAGAACTTGAGCCCAGATAAATTTAGCTCCCACCCCAGGCCCTGGCTCTGCCACCCTGGGCAGCCTAGGCCCATCCTCCCTGTGACCTATAAAGGTCATAGAACCTTGGTCTTGCACGTTGAGCAGCCAGGTGCCTTCAGCACCCCCCAGCGCCGGCTCACAGACGGTGGTGATGCAGGGCCGCGCTGATGGGCAGCCTTCGTGGGCCACCCATAGTTTTGAGCGGGGGAGGGTGGTGCTGAGTGAGCCTAGAGACGGCTGCTGCATCCACCTTCGTCAGGACACGTCTCCATCTGCAGGCCTGGTTCCTTCCCCCGCAGCAATGATGCGAGCACATTGAAAACAGGCCCCAGGGTGCAGACCAGGGCACACACATGGAACTGCCTCGCTCTCTTCATTGTCTGTATCAGAGTCAGAGTGTCCCCACAATTGGTTTTCAAATTCTTCCTACTGATTCGTTGTTTTGTTCCTGTGGTACCGGGGGCAGTGCTGCAATGGACATCATCGCATGTATATTTTTGGCGCATGTGCAAAATTATTTATGAAGTCAGATTACCAGATGAGTAATTGCAGAGCCAGTTTACAGTTCTCTTGGTGGAGAGAGCCAAAGTGTCTCCGCAGAAGTCCCCACCAGCCACGCGGAAGGAAGCCTTGTGCTTTATGCTGCTATGACTGTCGCCAGGGAGCGTGGCAGATTTTTTTTTCAGCTTCGTTATGTTCTTGACTCTAGGGAGCTTGTGGTAAATTAAGACTCCCGGATCGTCCTTGCATGGACTAACATGTACGACAGCATCTGGTTAATAGAACTGGGTCATGTAGTTCCTGTCCACAGTCAAGAACCACCACTTCCTGGAGATGGTGAAGAATAGAGAATGAGGGAGATAATAATTGCTGAGAGGGGTGGGGGCGTGTTAACTGGGAGGGAGCTGGGAGCAGAGAAGCCCAGCACCCGCTGTCCCATCAAGACCCCCATCCTGTCTCCCTGTGACCTTCCCAACCTGAGTCTGAACCAGCTGCCCCAGGCCCAGCAGCTGCCCCAGGCCCAGCGGACACCGGTCCCCAGGCTGACGCATATCTCCCGATGGTACGCAGACCACTCCATCGGAGGAGCCAGGCAGACCCCAGATGCTGACCCCTCCGGCTCGGTGCATGGATGGCTTCGAGGGGCCAGGAGAGCGGCAGCGGGCCCTCAGCGCAGTCAGTGTCCTCACCAGCGCCCTGGAAGGTCAGCACCCCCCGGCCCTGGTCTCATCCAAACACTCCCACTTCTGGTCTGGGCACCCTGTCGTTACCCGGACCTGAGCCAGGCCTCCCTCTGCCTTGGACCATCCCCCAGCGGCTCCAGACTTCTCCGTCTGTGTCCCCTGCCCTAGGTGTTTCATTCCTTTACGCTTGTCCTTTCCTGGGCATTGTCAGGAGCCGCGTCTGTTGCTTTCAAACTTTCCCACAAGTGTCCTGGCCTGTCCCAGGTGTCGATCAGTCTCATCTGGTCCTCCCCTGAGCACCTCCCTGTCTGCCGGGGGCCATCCTCCCCCAAGCATGCCTGCTCTGGCCTCATCCCAGCCAGTCCCACCCTCGGCAACCCCCGTCTTGTTCCCTCCTGCCCCATATGTGTTCACAGTTTCTCCGGCCTGTCCCAGGCACCACCACACCCCCTGTCCTAACACGTCCACAGCTATTCACTCCTGAGTGTCCCTAATATCTGAACTCGCCTGTCTCGGATGCTGCCTCCTTTCCAGTCCGCCCTGATCTGTCCTGTCCCAGTTTTCCCCACATCCATCCCTGCTCCCTGCCCCCTGCCCTGTGGTCCTCTTCTCCCATATTTCCAGGGTAAGGAGTCAAGACACAGCCCCCCTCCCCTTCCCTTTGTCTTCCCTGCCTCTTTCGAGGACCCCCTGCCATGCATGCATCAGCCCTGTCCCCTCCCTGGCTAAGCCACGCATCTTTCCGGAGCACCCTGAGTTATGTATGAATCAGTCAACAAAAGCAAACCAGCTCCCCGGTGTCCCCCCAGAGCTGGAGGAGTCTCACCGCAAGTGCCCGCCGTGCTGGAACCACTTCGCCGAGCGCTACCTGATCTGGGATTGCTGCCCCCTGTGGATGTCCATCAAGCAGAAAGTGAAGTTCATGGTCATGGACCCCTTTGCTGACCTCACCATCACCATGTGCATCGTGCTGAACACGCTCTTCATGGCCCTGGAGCACTACAACATGACGACGGAATTCGAGGAGATGCTGCAGGTCGGAAACCTGGTAAGGGCCGCTGGGAGCTGACTCCAGAGGGGGCATCCGGGTGCGAATGGCTCTCAGCCAGCTGTCCCAGCCTGCCTGGCTCTGGGCGCAGGGATCCAGAGGGCAGAAGGATTTTCCGATGGTGGGGTCATCGTGGAAGGCATTGTGAAGTAAGGAGTTTCAGCATCAGCATTTAAGGAACAGAGAGATATAGTTGGGAGGGAGAGTTTGGGGATAAAGGTGAATGAAGATGCTCAGAGGTGACAAAGCAAAAGGGAGGTGGGGGTGAGCCTGAAATGGGTGGGGACGTGAGATTTGGCAATAATAGATGGAGGAGGGGAGGGGGTACAAAAAAAGGCAATTCTCTTATAGCCAGAGTTTCTGTAGGTGGACATCGATGTTTGTTGGATGGAGAAGAGGATGGATAGATGGATGGATGGATAGGTGGATGGATGGATGGATGGATGGATGGATGGATGGATGGATGGATGGATGGATGGATGGATGGATGGATGGATGGATGGATGGATGGATGGATAGATGGATGGATGGATGGACACTGGGTGCAGCGAGTAAGTGAAGCAGAGCCAGATTTGAATTCTGACTCAGCTCTTACGAACTATATGTGACCTCAAGCAAATCACTTCGGCTCAGTAATTGCACAAAACATATTTCTTGAATTTAATAAATGTAAAATTAGTATGACGATGCCAGCTTTATGGGAAGCTAATGAGGACTGAATAAGATAATACGTGTAATGTCCTTGGCTCAGAGTTTGATAAACAATAAGCACTAAAGATACATGATAACTGGGGTTATTACTGCTGTTGTTATTATTAAAGAGACTGTCCCTGGAAGTTAGGATGTCTGGGTTCTAATTCTGATTTCTTCCTCTTGAGATGATACCAAGCCCTACCTCTTCACTAGAAAAAGGGGAAACTGAGGCCTGAGAGGGGACACAGTGGTGACAGAGCTGGGCATGTAGCTTCTGTCTCCTGACTCTGAGCGACAGAGCCCGCTTGGCTGTGTCCAGATAAACACAGTCAGCCCTTCCCCCAGGGGAGCCCCGGGAAAGGCTGGCAAAGACCCCCACTGGTTTCCAGAAGGAGCTCCTAGAATCATTACCGAGTTTGGGGAGAGGAAGGGAGGCATTTGCTCTAACCCCTCTCTTCCTGCAGACCCGGCCCTGTCTTGTCCAGCTGCACAGGGGCCCACCCCCAACCAGGCAAGCAGGTCTCCCACACTTTGGGGTATGAAGATTGTCTTCCCTTATTACTTTCCATATCTAGGACTCTGGACAGTTCTCTGCAGGATCCAGTCAGATGTTTTCACAATTGTGTGCATTTGCTATAATTCTAGTTTTATATGCAAACAGGAGGGAAAGCTGTCTCCCAGTCTGCAGGGGCCTCATCACCCAGCTGTGCCTCCCTTGCGTTGGTCTTCAGATGGCGGTTACGTCAGGTTTCCGTTGAATGCGGTTTTAGTGGAATGTGACCCTTGGTTCGGACCGAGCTCCAAGTCAAGGTGATGGGGAGCTCTGTTGGCCTCGCCGGATCATTAAGTAGTGATTGAATCGCAGCTGTGTTTAACCTGTGGTTCGATGATTACTAGTAGGTCATGTTGTTGGATGATAGCTCTGTTTGGTTCTGTTTGGAGGGCTTATTGCTAGCATGTAAGGTTTGTATTGTCTTGCAGTTAATATATTTTCGATGGTTTAAATAGTCAATGGAAAGAAACCAAACCACAAAAATAAGCATAGTAGGGGAAAAGCCTTTCAAAGCGTGCCACTAAAGACAAATTCCAGGAAGGAGGAGATTTCTAGAGCTGAGTAACTTTTAGCCCACCATATAATCAAACGTTAAAAGCCATGCTGTAGGCAAGCCTGAGAAGTCTCTGACTGCGAAACAATTAAAGATATAGCCAGCATTCTTTGACGTGCAGAGCAAAGTTCATGAGAACGTAACAAAAATGCCCGCGTGCCAAAAACAAAGAGGGACTTAAAAACTATAGCAGTAAACATGACATGGTTCTGTCGTTGCTCTGGATGGGGTGGGGAGTCGTTGATGCTGTGAGTGATCTGGGGGTTTGGATTTCAGTGACCATGTAGAGACTTTGGGACAGTGTGAATAGGGGCTGGAACTAAGTAGCCCATAGGTATATGACCCTACATTCAGTAAAACGGTGAACCAGAAAAACCCACACACAGACGCTGGGAAATGAAAAAGAAGGAAGCTTATCAGTCTCAGCCAGCAAATGCCGTACTCAGAGGGAAATTTATAGCCTAAAGTGTACAGGGTGGGACACAAGTAGGTTTGCCGTTATTCATTTGGAAAGTAATTAATAAAATTAATAAATAATAATAATACAAGAATAAACTCTGTGTTTCATGTACGCACAACTGTAAACCCACCCTTGCCCTTCCCTATATACATTAAAAAAGAAAAGTTGGAAATTAATGAGCCAGTCATTTGATTCAAGTCGTTAGTAAAAATGTAAAGAAAATTAAAGATAAAAGCAGAAAATTAATACATAATTTTTAAAATGTAATTATGAAGTTTTTTATTTTCTTTTATCAAATGGAATGTTTTGTTTTTTTAATAGTTCTTCATTCAAAGTATTACATATGTCCCCTTTCTTTCTTTTTTTAAATATATTTTATTGATTTTTTACAGAGAGGAAGGGAGAGAGACAGAGAGTCAGAAACATCGATGAGAGAGAAACATCGATCAGCCGCCTCCTTCACATCCCCAGTGGGGATGTGCCCGCAACCCAGGCACATGCCCTTGACCAGAATCGAACCTGGGACCCCTCAGTCCGCAGGCCGGCGCTCTATCCACCGAGCCAAACCGGTTTTGGCTGTCCCCTTTCTTTCCCCATTGACCCCCTCACCACCCCATTATCTGTGCCCATGGGCCATGCATAGATGCATCCAAGGTCCTTGGTTGATTACCTCCCACCCACCTACCCCCACCTTCCCTCTGAGATTCCACACTCTGTTTCATACTATGGAGAAGTTTTTTTTAAACAAACATATTCTGAAACGACTAATAGACAAATTTCTTAGCAGGATTAAAATTTAGAAATTGAAGGTACAAATACATTAAAGATGGAAAAGAGGCAGAACTACACAAACAGTAGAGATTAAAACACAATGTAAAACATTATAAACAACTTAATGCTAGTAAATTTTGAACAGACTAAGTGAAAATTTTTCTAGAAAAAATGGAAGTTACCAAGAAGAGATTTAAGACCATAAAGAAACGAGAGGGAAAAAAAAGCCAAAACAAATCCAGCAGTGTACGATTAAGAAAAATCAAATAAGTAAAGTATAAACTCCTCGTGATCAAAGTGTGTTTATGCCAGGCACATATGATCTTCCCTTCAGTGTGGAAAAATCATCTAATAAAACCAAACTCTTTGTGGTAAGAACTCTTAGCAAACTAGAAATAATCTGACCCAAATGATCTATAGTATCATTCTTGACCATGAAACGTTAGCAGTCTTCCCATTAAAAGTCAGGAACGAACATAGATGTGAAGCTGGTGGTAGTCGTAGCTAATACTTGTTGAACACCTAATTTCTGATAATAACCAGTAAGGGAGATGCTATTATTATTATTGTTCCCATTTTACTGATAAGGGAACAGAGGCACAAATCACTTAACCGCCGTCACACAGCCAGGAAGTGGTAGAGTCAGGATTCGCAACCGAGCAGTTTGTATCTAGAGCCCTTGTTCATACCTGGGGCACTCCACTGCCAGGCTCTCGCTCTAGCTTTGTGCCTACCTCCCTGCTTCCAGTCCAAATTATACCGGAGGTCCTTATCACCATGGTAACAAAAGGAAAAGAAGAAAGAAGAGAACAGATCGAACATTACTTCTCAGATTATATTGTTATCTATATAAATAATTCAAGAAAATCTACACAAAGACGATCAGGACTAGTAAGAGTTTACCAATGTTACTAGGCACACGCTCAATTTACCCACATTCATTCTGCTCCTCGCCACCAGGACCATTTGGAGAAAGTCATGTTTAAAAGTTGACACTCTTAAAAATAAATAACAGTAAAAACTAGGAGGAATCTAGGAAGAAATGTAGCAAAAGATCATAATTTTTATATGAAAACAATTTAAACTTTTAAAAAGCACAAAAGAAGACTCAGATGAGTGGAGAGATAGACCATTTTTGTGAATGAACGTCTCAATTTTGTAGAGATAGCAGTTCTTCCCAAATTAGCCTAGATATTTAATGTAATTCCAATAAGAATTCCAACACAGTTTTTTATGGGAATTGACAAGGTAATACTAAAATTCATATGGAAAAGTAAAGTCTATGAAGATAAATTAGGAATCGGGTGGGGAATTTACCCTACATGTATTAAGATATATTATAAAGTTATAGTATTGTTGCAAAGATAGAAAATTGGATCACTGCTACAGAATTGAGAACTCAGAAGTAGAAAATGCATATTTGGTGACTTGATAAATAATAAAAATGGCATTACAATTCGGTAGGAAAATGATAGATTATTTAATAATAAATAACTGGGCAGAATGGTTATCTATAGAGAAGAAAATGCATTTAGATCCCTACCCACACCGTACTCATCAATTAGTGGTGGGGAATTGGATCCAACACCTAAATAGGATAAAGCAACATTTTTAAACTTTCAGAATAAAAGTGAGAAAAAATCTTGGGGTTTGGAAGGCTGTCTTTAGCAACATGAAGAGTTTATACCATGAAAGAAAAGATTGATAAGTTTACTTATATTAAAATGTAAAATACCCATCAAATAAAGGATACGATAAAACAAAGTGAAGTCATTGCCATAAACTAGATATTGATACTGTGAAAAGTATTCAACTAGAAAGACAGGAAATCCAGAATCGATTTTGAACGCTTATGCATCAGTGAGGAAAAGAGGGACAGACAACCCAGGGGCAAAAAGACAGCACAGTGGACAGAGGAAATGACAGGCAAATCCCAAAGGGGACACACAGATGGGTATAAACAAACGAAAAGAAACACAGACAGAGGGAAGCGGGCTAGGATTGGTGGGGGGAGGGCAAGGAGGCAGGGAAAGGGACATATGTAATACTTTCAGCAATAAAGATTTTTTTTAAAGAAACACAGAGGAATGCAAAGAGCAACATTGAGATACTATTTCTCACCCCTAAGAGAATCAGAAATAAACTTGCACGTGTTGACAAGGGTGTGAAACACTGAGAAGTCACACTTTGTAGGAGTCTGGATTTGGTACAGCCATCACAGGGGGCAATTGTACAATCAGGTAAATCACTGATGTGCATACCCTACAACTTAACAATCATATATATATATACAGTATCTGTGTGTGTGTGTATATATATATATATACACTATATATATACACATACAGTATATGTGCATACCCTACAACTTAACAATCATATAT